ATTCTACCATGAGTTCCTGGAGTATAGGCAAGCACTACTGCAAGTTGTTGCCTAGTCAGCTCAGAGGTGCATTGAGAGCTCATCATTTGCTCTGCATGACTTCCTGTGGTGCATGTTCCTGTTTCAGAGTAATCTAAGATGTTTTCCTGCAGGGAAGCGGTGGGGGTTGCGTGCAGCAGCCTGAGAGTGTCTGTGCAGGCTATTACCGTGTGGTGCATCCACACTGACTTGTCTATATGCTTATCTTGCAAAGAAAAGCAGTGAATATTCTCTAGGATTATGTTGGAAGCTTTGACCATGTTTTTTCTTTCCAGGTAAAACTTCTGAGTGCTGTTTCTGTTGAGCATCTTCTAGATGCTAATGATTCTAAGTCCAGATCAATGTTCGGACCTAAAAAGTCAGGCTTGTCATCATGCAGACAGCCTGATGGAAGGAAAAATACAGAAGAGAAGCACCAAACAGGGAGGGCAGGAAGAGGCATTACTAGGGTTTGTGTACAGTTGTTAGCATTTTTCAGGCAAATAGGGTTTATATCTGACACTATTCAGCTCCTTGACTACAGAAAAAGAGCAGCCAGCTTGATGGGTTAAGAAGCTGAGCACTACATAATATGGATGATAACGTATCCATAGATACACACATCTTCTTGTGCCAGCTTGACAGCTTGTCTCTGCCACAGTCCAGAAAGGCCAGTTTTGTGCATGGTAAGACAACTTTGTTTGTGTCATCTAATGTGAACAAAGGGCTGTTATGCTGTGAACTTGCATCTGTTGAACTGAAACTATTAACTAGTTTCATCAGATTGTTGTGGGTTTTTTCCCCCGTGCTTGTTCTTCATTCTCACTGTTCTCATCAAATTCTTCTTTTCTGAGAACAAAAGTGCTGTGTTTGGTTTATCATAATGCTCCATAACCTTTGCTGTTAATGTGTGTAGTTGGTTGCACAGCACAGACTTGTTCAGTATGACAGCTGGATGGAGCCTCACTAGCTTTTGACTGAGTCTTTCAGGAAAACTTGTGTATCATTATACCTTACAGGTATGAGCAATCCTCTGTTACCATGTCAGCCTGTGGGGATGTGACTTCTTGCAGATTGCTGTGTGTGATGAAATGTTAAGAGACACACATTGCTGTCAAAGAGCTCGTAAGGAAGAGATGCTCATTCTGTGTGCTGTCATCTTAACATGTAGATACTATCTATGCAGAAGACCCAATCCTTTGGCTTTTTGAGGTCTTTGAGGCAGCATGGCTTGCTGAAAGGAAATAACCTTCTTCCTCCCAGCTGAAAGAAGTGGAATTTCCAGGTGACCCATAACTGTATAGGGCAGAGGTGCTTAGAGATAAAGTGTAGGAGGAAATCGCTTGACCGAAAGGTAGGGATTGATCAGGGAGTCGATTTGAAGAGTATGACAGATGATATACTTGCTTTCCCAACAGTGGAGAACTAATTGTCTGATACAAATTATTCTTTTGCTTCACAGGTACATGTAAAGTGAATTTTCCCGACCCAAACAAGCTTCATTACTTTCAGCTAACTGTAACCCCAGGTAACTTTTTTAAACATACTGCTTTTGTTTCTGCATGTGTTGGTGTTTAGGAAACATAATTCCATGAGTTTGCTCAAGAATTCGATGATCTTTCTAGTCAAAGAAAGACTGGCTTTAATACAATGGTTATTTTATTAAGGCAATGGAGAAACTGGGCTGGACTTTGAGAACTGGATTCTAATTAAAAGATGATCAAAATTGAGCAGGTTTAGGAAATATTCAAGTCTTGTTTGTTTATTTTGACTGAAAACTTTTTTTTTTTTCTCTCAGCCACTTTCAAACCACCTTATTCTATTTGCTGAGAATAATTTCGGGTTGTGCCTGGAGAAGTTATTATATTACAGCCCTGTTATCTTGCCATGTGCATTCCGTTCTACTGATGACTTGATTCTGTAGAGGTGAAGAGATTGGTGACAGAGAAAACACTGCTGGGAATCTTCAAATCTCTTCATGTCCAAAAATGCTTAACGCATAGGAATCTCTTTGAATGTTTTAAGTATGTAGAAGTTAGATCTCTTACTATTAATACAATTTAAGTGTCCTGGGAAGCTTTTTGCTGGAATGCTGGTCAATAAAAACAGTTTTAGGATTTGGCATTTCCACCTAAGCTTCTGAATGGCTGCCTGAAATTTCAGATTCTGCTTGAATAGCTGTCCATTCTCAAATGGAAAGTTATGTTTTATGGATGAAATTGCATGGAAGATTATTTAAACTTCACATACACTTCTTTGTGTTTGAGACTGTTCGACTGCTGAAATGAGAACCTTGCCATGTGCAATACATTGAGCTGTTTGAGTTAGATGTGCTGGGATCAGTGTCTCCCTGCCAACTAATTCTTTTAGGTGCACGTTTTCTGTCAGATACTTGTTAACAACAGAATTTGGATGAGGTATATGAGTCATCTTGATGTCTTACCCAGAGAGATAATGGGTTACACTTAACGGAGTGGTAGGAATGCTTCTGATCATCCTGGATTTTGAAGTCAGAGAGGCACTAGATGTCACTGTTGCTGCTTAGTAGCCTAAACCAACTAGCCCTTCCTGCCGTAGAAATCTTGGGTGGTCTTTTGTTACCGTGTCCGTTCATGTGACTCCTTTTTGTGATGGAAAAATGAGTGAGGCTGCTCTAGTCAGTGCTGTCAAAAATAAATGCAAGTGCTATTCTAGAACTTTTAACCTCTTATTCTCTGCTGGAGATGTGCTCATGTTTACTTGGTGGGTGTTAGTCTGCTTGCACCAAATGTCCTTCAGTTTAGGTGCTGCTGCTTTATTGTATTTTGGAAATGAGTTGACTTTACAAGATTATCACTGTGCAAGTTACGGATGTCTTGAATGTGGAGCAATGATGGCTCCCTCATGCTACTTCCAAGGTGTCTAAATCACAGTCAGTTTTTGTCTGTTAGCTGCTGAGCAGCAAGATGCTGCAGTCAGAAGCCTGTCATTCAATGCAGGTTTTGTGCTAGCTTCATTGCTGAGATGATCTTGCCAATGAGGTGATCTTAATTAACATTTCGTTACTCTAAATATAGCTGCACAGCTGAAGTCTCTGCAGTTGCAGTCTGACCAAAGTAAACATCTATTTTCAGCTGTGCATAATTCAGGTATAGAATCTTGTGATCAGCTGCAGCTTACCACAGCTCTTTAAAGGCAGAACTTAACACATACCAAGAACATCTTTGTAGTTTTCTGATTCCCTTCAATATTGAGATTTTCTATACTTATGCTAGATCTTAGGTTCCTCTGGGATAGCAGAGAGGCAGCTAAGTGGTTGTCACAGAATCTTTAAGGCTCAAGTGGGCCAAAATTGTTGCTTGAGCCACCTGTTTTTGTAGTGTCTAAACAATATTGCATGAATCTTGGCAGTCTCGAGGAAGAACCGGTTTTCCTCCTCCTGCCTGGAACTGTCTGTCACGTGAAGCAGCTGAGTTATTTCTAGAAAACCTGCTCATATATTTGACTCTTCAGGGAGTGCTTTGCAAATCTCTCTGCAGCTTTTTTTGTGGAACAAGGGCTGGGCTCGGCGCAGCTGTGGCTGTCGGGGAATATCTAAGGCTGCCTTGTGGTTCTCGCGGTTAGGAGTGGCGTGTTGTGCATAAGCCACGGGTGGGAGTCTGCACAGCAAAGAGGTTTGTGCTGGCACATTTTGCTGGGGGCTCTCAGCTTATGGTGAAGTTCTCTTATATTCTGATTAACCTTAGGGCTTGAATTCCGTAGCCACACATTGTAAGGAATCCTACACCAAGGCAGTTCCTGAAAGTAGCTGTCAGTCAGGATGCCATGAAGGTACTGACTGAGCAGGTTTTTAACATTAGAAATGCTTCTTGGTGGAGTTCTAGCCTGATGTTATGGACAAAGCCTGTTCCTGGGTGCTTTGTTTTATGCAGTCATTTTGCATGTGGCTGGTCTTCAAAGAACTGTGAAAGAAGCTTCTTTATGTTCTCACAGAAAGACCAATTTGAATAAGAAAATGAACTTTACCACCAAGCAGAAATACTTTTAGCTCCCTTGCTGGGCATCTCTCATAATAACCTTTCTCAGTGAGTATTTAATGTCCCAAAATTATCCTGGTGATAGTAAGTTTTTTAATTAAAATGATTTTGTAGAAAATCTTGATGAAGTATCTGCTTCTTTCATATAATTCAAGAAATATTGATCCCTTGATGTTAGAGCTTTCTGCAGTGCACCATGAGTGGATATATAGTATCACCTGCTAGAAAATGGGAAAGACATAGAGTTCACTGCTGCAGTGGACAAACTGTGTGTTCCCAAGGCAGACACTGCTGGCTTTCTCTGCTCTCTGAGGCTGCTGCTTCCTTTTGTCATCTGAAACAATTGTTCTGTTGTTGAAAAATGCCCTTGTGCTGCCACTTGCCTCAGTTCTTTTTTGTAGCAGTATGACGGATTAAAATCTAGGGAAAATAAGGAGATAGATGCCTATAACACTGGCAGAGTCCTGCCTGCTGCACTGATATTTGGAGCACAAAATTGGAAGCGGAGACTGAAAGATGGTAATGACCTAGAAAAAAAAATAATGAAGGTGAGTTTAGGTAGCTTAGACATGAAGAAAACTAGAAGAGTGTATGTAGCTAATGCAGTTTTCCTGCAGCTCCCAGGTAGTTGGAGTAGTCTGGGGTTAGTGTGGTTATTTTAGAGTCCCATTCTTGAGGGAATTAATAAGGAGCCTGTTTTCTGGTTTGCAAGCCATAGAATGACAGGTGTCAGTGAGCATGGCTGAGCATTTCAACGCTGCTGGTTCAAGGAGCTACTATCCAAAGTGCATCCTTTGTGGCCTGTCCTAATTATCTTGCCTTTTCTTTGAAAGTGATGAAATAATTTGGTTTAGTATTTTTCACAGCACTTTCAAGCATCACAACACCTTACAAATGCAAACGAAGATTAGTGTCAGGTTGTTGATAATGCAATTTGAGACTTAAGTGGGAGGGATGCTTGGTCTGTTTACAGCTTGAAGGCATAAATTTAAGCAGGAGGAGGAAAACCAGAGCTCACGCGTATTCCATTTTTGCAAGAGTCTCTCAGTGGCTAACTTCCTAACTTATGTGCTAAAGCTGTTTTCATTTGATGGTTTTATTTATAGTGCTTTCCTCATTGTTAACTCTGCCAGAACCTCAGTTTTCCCCACCACTGTTCTATGCCTAAAAAATTAGCTTTGTCCCAGTCTGAGAACCTATTTACTTGCTTGAGTTGTTGTAAGATGACTTCATTGTGAAGGCTTATCTTGTTAATGCAGCACAAGATTTCTGGGTGGGTACTGAGGATCTTCAGAGATCTGAGTTTTTAATACACCTGGGAGTGATTGGTGGTGAGTGACTATATTGTTGCTTTAGTGAAAGATTTACAAACACACAGGGAGAATTGTATAAAAAAGGGTGAGGAGAGATGCCTTTCTCTTCTGCTTGGGTAAATATGTCAAGGTAAACCCAAAATGTAAAGTAAGTTGCAATGCATGGCAGTGATGAGTATTGAATTGTCTTTGAGGGGAATTTGATCTGAAAGTATTTGGAAATGACCTGCAGTGTAAGGTGCAACATGTAAGGTGCTCCAAGTCTTCCAGAGGTTTCTCAGCCTTATATAGAATGCAGGAACAAAAAAAATATCCTGAATTAATACATGAGGTATCCTTTGCAGCATGTGGAATGGACTGCTCAGGGAGGTGTTGGATTCACCATCCCTGCAGGTTTTGAAGATGAGACTGGATGTGGCACTTAGTGCCATGGTCTAGTAACCACAGTAGGGTTGGACTTGATGTTCTTGGAGGTCTTTTCCAACCTGGTTAATTCTGTGATTCTATGAAATATGCTGTGTGAAGGTGCTTAAGCTAATCTAAACATGTTTTTAAGGAAAAGGTGTTCTTTCACCATCTGGTCCTGTTTCTTCTGTTCTGCTGACACTGATTTCATCCTATACATGGACACTGGGAGTTTCTTCTGTGGCTGGGTGGAATAGGAGCTATCCTGAGCTGGGTCTGCATGGTGGTGAAGAGCAGAGAAAACAAAAAACAACTGTTCAGCTTTTTTCCTCTCCCCTTGGGTCTCTTGAGCTGATCTTTCTGTCTGTGCTTGGAGTCAAGGACCTTCCTTAATGTTCTTGCATGCTGCAACTGCTGTAGGCCTGCTGTTTTCAGTGTGCAGAGACACATAGAGTGTGGCTTTCCTCTTGCTGCTTGACTGGCAGGAATCTGACAGTCTTTTGGCAAGCTCTCCTCCCTTGGAGCTGTTCTTCAATGTGTCTTTGGGTTAACTCTTACTGTGAGGATTCAGTAAATCTGAGGGTTTGCTTTGACATAAGGCACATGCAGATGCATCCATTAACAGGCATCTATTTCATTTTAGCAAGGCTGGAATATGAGGAGCTGCTGGGCAATTCACTCCAGTCCACAAAAATCAAGGAACTAGTGAAATTAAGCCAAATAACTATCATACTGGGAAATAGTGAGCATTCCTGACACTTCGTTAAAATGCTATTATAGTGCTATTATAATGTGCTAGATGGTGGATAAAGTGCAGTTAGCTGTGTTCTATAGCATAAATGGTTGTGTTTGAGCTCCTGGGGGATATTAGACCATTTTCCCAACGATTCCTTTCTGGAACAGTGTGTCTTGCTCTGAGTGTTTTGTGCATTTGACAGGGAACAGTTTCATCAAAGAGATATTGGTTTAACTCACCTTGTACTTCTCATTCTTCAATAATGACTTGCTTTACTTTTTTTTTAATCTCAGTGTATTTGAAAACAAAAGGTTAATGCTTTTATCTTGTTTTTTTCCCTATAAAAATCAGTCCATGTCCATTTACTTGCTGCTGAAGCATGGTGTGCCTGAGAAGACTGCCTAATAAATCCAATGCACTTTAGAATTGAATTGGAGTGGGAATGGAGAATGGATTTGAGAAGTGTGTGTTCTGGACAGGTTATTACCATGAGATTTGCAGGGGCTGGGACTTGCAGCTTTGTGCTGTGCAGCTTGATGTGGAATCAGCTGTCAGCATTGCTGGGGGTTTGGGGAAGACCAGCTGTGTTCTGTTTCCATACTCTGTGCCTGTGCTGTGATTGCAGTCCAAAATTTCTGGTGCTGCTCATGTGCTGAATTGGTTGCTGCTCTACAGAGACTCTTGAGAGAAGGACTGAGGTGGATTTCCCAGCAGCGATTTGGCTCTTCTGCAGGCACAGGTCTTTTGAAGGTCCTGCTGGGCACAGTGTGCAGTTGGGTCTCGTCTTTGGCAGCATCAGCTTTTACTGACTCGCTGCCCTCTGCAACAGAGGGTTTGTCTTGTGTAACAGGGTGATGCCCTATCCTCTTCAGTAAGTTAGCTGATAAGAGATTGCAAAAGGAAGTAGGTTAGGAACTGTCTGTTCGCTTGCAGTTACAGCAATTACAGTGTGGAAGCTCTGGGCTTCTCCAGGCAGTGGTGAGACTGTAGCACAGGCTGAAACCAGATCATGTGCACATGGTGCATTGGTTGATAGGACAAAATAGAAGGTTATGCATGGAGACCTCATAGCAACTTTTCAATCTCTGAAGGGCCTACAAGGAGTCAGACTCTGTATGAGGAACTGCAATGATAGGACAAGGGGTAATGGATTCAAACTGAAGGAGGGAAAGTTTAGGTTGGATGTGAGAAAAAGTTTTTCCTGTGAGGGTGGTGAGACACAGGCACAGGTTGCCCAGGGATGTGGTGGCTGCCCCGACCCTGGTGGTGTTCAAGGCCAGGCTGGATGAGGCCTTGAGCAACCTGATCTAGTGAGGTGGTATCCCTGCCCATGGCAGAGGGTTGGGGCTAGATGATGTGTAAGGTCCATTCCAATCCCTAAATTCTATGCTTCTGTGATCTGTGTAGGGACTGGGAAGGCAGCGGGTCCAGCAGACAGCAGTTGCAGTAGAGGAGCTTTTTTTTTTTTCCCTGTGGTTTGGAACAAGCTAGATTATAAGAAAACTTTCTTTAATCTTCCTGTAAACTATGGATTGCTTCACAGAACATTCCTTTGTGATGTTGGTTTAAAAATATAAACTAGTAATATCATGCATTGCTAACCAGCACTCCTGACCTTCCAGCCTTCACTGTGCCTGGAGTGTGATAGAGAGACCTAGACTACTCAAGATAGTTTAAGCCAGAGCGTTCCTCAGGTGTCCCAAACCCCCAGTGTGGGCAGGGTACCTCTGTTGCCCTTGTTTAATGAAAAAACTCAGTAATGGCAGTGCCAGGCATTTCAGATCACTTGCAAGCATTCCAGCTTCCAAGCACAGCCATCTTAAGAGCTGCAGGCTGACGGTTATCCTGTTGTATTATCTCTGCTTCAATGTATCTAGACATTTTAAGATGTCATATTTTAAAATTTAGCCATTTGAATAATTTAATACTGAGTCTGAGGTTGACAGAGAGACAGACATATTTTCCTAGCTGATGCATCATAGTAAGATAATTACAATAAAAGATCTTGCTTGCTCTTTTATTGCAGTGCACTCTGAAACACGCTCTTGCACGCACTGTTCGTGTTACTCATGGTATGTGATTGCTAGTACAAGTTTGGGAAGATGTGCTAAATCCTGGAGCAGGATTTAACAGGCATTAGCAAGTGTATGTGCAAGAGTATGCCCCATCTGCTTTCACAGGTTGGTGAGGTGGTGCTGCATGTGTTGGTGGGATTCTCTTTGTACAGACATGAGAAGTTCAAGGTTCCTCTAGCTTGGTATCTCCCATCACTCTGATCAGGATGGTGTATTTTTCTGGGACTTTTGACTCTTCCGACTTTGAATTTCTGCTGTAAAAACCTTGGGAGTGGAGGAAGACACTATGCTCACACCCTCTTTGGATTAGGTAGCAGGTAGTGGTATGGTATAACTAGGTTAAGGATTGATGAGAACCCTGTGCTGTTATTTTAATCTTTGTAGTTTTCACTTATTTAACTACTTTTCTTGTTTTCTAGATGAGGGCTATTACCAAGGTGGAAAGTTTCAGTTTGAAACTGAAGTTCCTGATGCCTACAATATGGTGGTGAGTATTTGTGATTAGTCTAATAGTTGTCACTTTAGATTTTCTTTCCAGGTACTAGGACTTCAGAGGGAACTTGGCACTGAGGCTAAGAAAGGATTTTCTGTCTGTTACTAAAATATTGGGGGTCTGCAGAAAAATCTTGGTTGCCTGAAGGTCATCTGAACTCCTGCTCAAAGTTGGGTTGGTGTTAAAATTTGGGTTTGTTTGCTGAAGGCCTGGACCAGTTGGCATTTCAAAATCTCTTAGGATGGAGATCCCACTACCTCTCTGGGTCTCTGTTCCGGTCTTTAATTACCTTTGTTGTGTTTTGGGTTTTTTTTCCTGTATCAGGTCAGAACTGCCTTTTTTGCAGCTTCTCTGTGGGCCTTTTGCTTTATCACTGTGTACCTCTAAGAAGAGCCTGACTCAGTGTCCTCCATACCCTCCCCTCAGGTAGTTATAGACAGCAGGAGGGTCCCTGCCTTCAGGCTTCTCTTTTCCAGGCTAAACAGATCCAGGTCCCTCAACTCTGCCTGCACTTTGAGTGTTTGATCTCATCACCATCTCAGTGGCTGTCTACTGGGCTCACTGCAGTTTAATATGTCTGGTATGGGGAGTTCAAAATAGGACACAGTAATTCCAGATGCAGTGTAGTGAGTCTGAGGGAACGGGAATCATCACTTCCCTGGCTATTCTTTTCCAGGCTTTTACTGCTTCAGTGATACTGTTCCTTAAAGAAAAAATAAGACTCTGCAGCTGTCTGGCAGATGAATCAGACCTGAGAGTCTCCTCCCTTCTGGCTGAGGTTCCATTGTCATCTCTTCTCTCCTGTTAATTACTCTTGAGACCTGAACTTAGTGATTTTTCTCACAAAAAATAATATATCTAAGAGAATCATAGAATTTAGGGGTTGGAATGGACCTTACACATCATCTAGTCCCAACTCCCTGCCCTGGGCAGGGACACCTCCTCACTAGATCAGGTTGCTCAAGGCTTCATCCAGCCTGGCCTTGAACACCACCAGGGTCAGGGCAGCCAC